TTCGAACTTCATGTTTTCAAAAAAAAAATCAAAGCTTGAGTAAGAAACAAGAGTGACCCATCATCGGGAAAAAAAATGGTTTTTGTGAACAAAAGAAAGAAAAAAGGTGAGTAAAATGGATTTACCGAAGATGGAAGAAGGAGGAGGAAAGAAGTAGAAGCGGAGGCGTAATCGCTAGGGTTTTTCGCTCCATGTCCGAAAAGAACATCGAATCATCTAGAACTTATCGTCTGAAATTTAGGGTTTTTTTTTTTTATTGGAGAAAAAATGAGCGATTTTCTTGGGGACGATAGAGCAACGCCACCTGAAGGCAAGGGGAGGCTCAGGACCAATAGACTGGAAAAATTAAAGGAGAGGAACAAGATGACATATTCATCCTGCGAAATTACCTAATTGACCTTTATCTAATGACCTAACTGTTTAATCCCCTCAAAATTTTGGTCCTTTTATTTTGTGGACATTGTTAAAAGGTCAATTAGCTCTAAACCAAAAAAAAATTTATATTTCAAAATCTAGCTAAAATTCTTAGATCTAATGGCTAGAATGTTACCATTTTTTATGATTATACAACCCAATTTTCCTTTGTTAAAATGATAGTTATTCTGAAACTATAGAAAAAAAGAAATTTTGAAAAATGTTATTTTTGAAATATTATTTATTCATTATATTATTTATGTTTGAGTTAACTATATTGTATTATGGTTTAGTTTTGAATGTTTAAAGTTTGTTAGGGATCAAAATAGTTTTTAAAATTTAGAATTTTAAGATATAAATTTTAAAAATCCATAATTAGTGATATTTTTGTAAATAGACAACCATTGTGGTATTTTTGAAACTTGACACACCAAAAATGATATTTTTGCAATTGTCTTTAGAAATAATATATACTATTTAGCAAGAAATGTAATGTAATTGAAATGCTAAGCTTTGGTTTGGATTTTTTTTTTTAAGATGATTTTTTTTTATTGTAAAAACTTCAGTCGTTTGGAAATGCTTGGTTTTTTGTTAAAGATATTATCCTCTATATATTAATAGAGGAGACACTAGGTGAAAATTATATGTGTCATTATAAGAGGGTTTTAAAAAATTCATTTCCTAATAAAAATTCTTAATAACAAATATATGGAAATAACGAATATGTGGTTATTAATATAGATAATTTTATTTAAGAAATATAGAAATTATTTAAAAATTTCTTATTTTCTTTGCAATAATACTAGATTTTTTTATCCGAGTTAAAAGCGGTATTAAAATATTCAAAAACAAAAATTCATGACTATTTTTAATAGATGAGAGAAATGAAAATAACAAAGATAAAATATATTTATTTTTGATCAAAATTTAACTGTATTATATGTATGCATAATACATATCATTTTTGTGTGTTTATAAATATTAGAATACACGTCTAAATATTAAATTTAATTAAAAATATATTTAATTATTTAATTCTATGCTTTTAACCCAATTTTAAAACTCAATTAGTTAATGTAACCGTGTAAGAAAATACACCTGGATTACAGATAATTCTATGTAACCCAATTTTGCTAAAATGAGTCCAAAAACGCTCAAGTTGTGATAATTGTTCGAATATATCAACAAATTATCATAAATCACCTAATTAAAACTTTAGAAAAAATTACAAAAAGCGTGCATGACCTTTATTATATGCGAACATGCAAGTACTTTCAAGTTATTTGGAAACCTTAACTATTCAACTTAAATTAAAATGAGCATTAATGGAATAATCAAATATTTGAAAAAAGCGTGCCAATGTGTGTCACTTATTCACTTGTATACTTCAATAAACTGTCCTCCGTATACATGGAAATTTTAAAACATTGCTTTATAAATCTAAAATATTCATTCTCCAATTATATTTTTCATTAGACTAATAAATCCAAAAATATCGAATATATATGTTTTTGAAATATATACGTAGATTTTCAATAAAAATAAAATAATAAAAGAATATATAAACAATAAATATGATAAAACACACCAATATGGTAGAATATCGTGACGTTATTTTTCTTTAATCTTTTGAATTTTTATTGTTTTTTTCTAACAAATTTATATTGATCTCATCGTCTACAATGTACGTTTGCCTAATAATGTCCGTTTTTTAAGAATAATGTCCGTTTTCATATTTATTTAAGGGCTTTGTATTTTAGGTAAATGACTCGTATATTAGACACATGTCATCTTCAGTTTGAGAATGTTAGTTTAATTTAAAAATGGATTTATGTCTAGCTCAAATGGTTTAATATTTACCTCGAATGGATTGTACATTCTGCAACGTGTTGGCTCCTTCGTTTTACGGTTTCATATCAGTGAATGCATGTTGACTCCAAAAAAGACATGTTTAGATTTGAATCATAAAACTAAATTCGGCTACTTCGAAAGATATATCATACAATAATATAAATTAATTTTATTCCGAAAACGTATTATACAACAAACAAAACAAATTTGTCAGCAGATAGTATTGAAATAACAATTAAGTTCACGAAATAATTCAAAAAGAAAAAAATCAAGTTCACGAAACTTTAATTTGAAAAGTTGGGGTCAAAAATGGAAATATACATGTTGCGACTTGCGAGAGTGTATTGGACTTTTTAAGTGCGTACGACAAAACCGGTACGGTCCGGTACAGTTGCGAAACGGTTGGGTCACTAACGGAGTTAATAACGGGGAATCTCGATGACTAACGGCGTTTATCAAGAGATTCCACTCGACGTGATGCCCACATTGCTACGATTCGCGTTTGTGGGCCCCACAAAAGATCACATCTTCGTAAAGATATGAATGATCGGACGGCTGAGATTTAAAGTGGACCATAAATATGTTTTTGAATTCATTTAAGATAGAGACACAATATATAATTAACGTATTAATCACACATCAATAATAAATTTAACTTTTAATTTTCTGAATATAAACAAAGATTCTCATAATTAAACTACATGCACCAACCGAACCATTAAGCCATGTAGACAGCAGCTAATATTCTAGACCCCACACTTATACAAATTAGTCTCGTCATTCAAAATTAAGCCACTATTATTTACAGTTTAAGATTTGTTTTTTTAGAAGTAGTATTTATAGATATTTAGATATCATACAAAATATGTGTTAATTAGGATTAGAAAATTGTAAATTTTATATGGATTAAATATATTAAAGCATATATAAAGTTACGAAATCCCTAGTCTTGTAAAATCTCTATTTAAAATATGAAGTTGAAGAAGGAAAAGGGAACTTAAAATATGGAGTTATAAAGAGCTTAGAAATTGGAATTTTTTTGTTGTTTTTTGCCATGATGGATATAAATACACTAAATACATTGAATAGTGAAGGTGATCAAAGGATGTATGAAAAAAAGAAAAGAAATGGGTTTCGATTGTATCTAAACGGGCTTAACCAGAAACTCGTATTGACAAAACTTAACGGGCCTTCACAAGCCTGCCAAAATAAAATTATTGGTGTGTGGTTCAAGAGTAGCTATTTTCTTATATAAAAAAATATTTTAAACCTTTTTCTTTTTCTTTTGCTGTTAAAGAAGTGCTTTTGGTGTTTGTAGTTTTTTTTTTTAGCAATGAATTGGAAAATTCCGTCAAATCCAGATAATTTACCGATTGACTTAAAATGATAGTATGAGCTTAATTGACTTTTTTTGCCACAAAAATTGCCAGTTACAACCATAAAATATTAGGTTTATTTAAAGAGAGAGAGAAAGAATCAACGTAGAAGCAGAAGCATGGAAAGAGCATAGTCGCATGCTTTCAACTTTGCTATTTCTTTTGTATAAATAATTAAGACGATTGGAAAATATATTCCGAAATCCTTTTTTATAGGTCGGTCGTTATAAAATAACAATTATTAAAGAGATCGATGAGCTTTTGTCACCGTGTGGTACATATATCAACCAACCATGCAGTACTTTTTAAGTCCCTCCTAACTCCAAAGTGCTCACCAACCTCCTGAATCATAATTCACACACACAAAAATTCCGACATATTTACTATTCTGGTTTTATAGCTTATGGACATTTTTTTTCGTCTTGAGTAAATTCCTGATCTTATTATTTATTTAGTTTAGATTTCAAGATACTTTAGCAACGTTGATTCCCCCATATATACGATTATTATTTGTTGTTAGAAAACCGTATATGATTTCTTGTTTCTTATAAATAATGCAAAATACAAACGTAGATTGATATACATAATATTTTGATTTTTTACAGCAAATAATAATTTGATTATAATGTACACAGATACAAGAGATTTAATAAACGATTAAATAAAGAGAACTCTTTTCAAAAGCAAAGAGAAAAAAAAAAAAGAGAAACAAATTAAGCTTATAGGAACAGTATGCAAGTGTGTAAATGTTTATGTTTTAATGGAATGGCCAATGCCGGGGCTGTTTCCCGGAGTTGTTGGCCGGAACTCATCAACGCCATGTTCTTCTTTGCTAATTCCACTCTTCTTCATCGACCCGCCGCGAGCTGTGCTTAAGCCACCGGAGCCGCCGTGTACCTTGAGAGGATTTTTGCTGCTGTTCTTGATTAGCTTTCTGTGAGTCCTCAAGTGTCTTGCCTCGGTCGGTATGATTTCATGGCTCACAATTGTGGTAATAATAAGAAGAAATACGAAAAAATTCAAGAACGCAGCTTTTGCCATTGATGATGATTGAGTTTCTGTTAATAAAAATGTAAAGAAGTAAAAAGAGAATGATAACTCTCTCTCTCTCTCGCCCTG